TTGGTTATAGAGGTTGTATGCGTGGGGCCATGCACTTAGGACAGAGGCAAAAGAAAATTAAGAGGCTTCTGCAGAGATACTTTTACATATCCCTGTTAGCCACCCTTGCTAAGAAAGTCAGCCAGCATTGTGTAGCATGCAATCAACACCATGCTAGACAGGGACTGTCCCTGCCACCTGAAATTCAGTCCTACAGAGAAACCCCTTTTAAAGATGTGCAAATAGACTATACTGAGTTGTTCAGATGTAGAGGAAACTGGTGCTTATTTGTTCTGGTCTGCACATTCTTGGAATAGGTGGAAGCCTTCCCCACCAGGATGAAGCGGGCTCTTGAAATAGTAAAAGCGTTGCCCAAGAAATCATCCCATGGTTTAGGTTGCCACTCTGGTTTAAATTTGACAATTGGCTAGCCTTCATAACAGAAATAGTGCAAATGATAACTAAAGCTTTGGATATCACCTGGAAACTATATGTGACATATAGGCCTCAAAGTTTGGGCAGGGTAGGGTGCATGAACAGGGCCATAAGAACAGGAATCTGTAAACTCTGTCAGGAAGCAAAGCTTACTCGGATACAGACCTTGCCACTGGTGTTGTTCAAAGAGGCCTCCATCAATCCTCTATAATTTACCAAGGACTCCTAAAAGAACTGGGAGAGACTGAATTGAACAGACAAAAGCCCTAGGAAAAGTAACAAGAAAGATCTCCACCTGCGTAATTAACCATGTTCTGTTTAGTCTTTTGTGTGTCTGTACATCCTTTCTCTCTGGAGGATCAAGAGGACTAAGTATAGATCAAGGATCAGAACCTGGTCCCCCTCAAACCAAGGTAGAAAGGACTTTCCACCATCATCCTGACCACATACACAGCAGTAAAGGTTGAAGAAATCGTCACCTGAATTTGTCACAGCTGGATAAAGAAAGCTTCACTGCCCCATGGGAAGCAAAGGTAACTTTTAAGATGGTCAACATGCCCTGCTCCAGCCACATACTGGGAGCTGGCTGGTCAACACAAAGCTGAAGCCTGAGGAAACTCCTCTCGAGACTTGTCTTAACTGGACTTTGAACTTTGGGAAAAGGGGAGGAGGGATGTGACACAGGGAAAAGTGAAAACTCATATATATATTAACCCACCACCACGGTACAATTAAAACCTGGGTAGAGAACCTCAGAGGAGTCACAGTTCCTGAAATCTAAGTGCTGATCCAGACCAGGGGAATAGAAAAGCCCAGCCAGGTAACTCTGAAGTTTACTGCCTGTAGCACCATGCGACAGTGAAGCAGCAGAAGGAACTGGGAAAGAAACTAGGACAGATGAGAAATAGTTCTGTGCCTTAGATTTTATAGAAGAGTGATGTAAAGTTGAATGTGAAAAGCGATTAATATCGGCACCTGCAGAAGCAAGCTGATACTGAGACCCCAAATTAAAATACATGTGGAGTCTCAAAAGGGGGGAATGAGAGAGGATACCCAAGAAGGGTGAGGTCTAGAAGAACAGGTCTTCTCAAGGAGACCACAAGGATACGCCAACAAGGTCCTCTCCATGGTGAGTCAGCTCTTGGGAATTTGTAGACTTAACTTTCTAGAACTTAGAAATTTCCACATCTGTGAAATCCTATAGTTTTTTTGGGGGGTGGGGGGGGAGGCTGGAACAGCATGTCCTGCTTGTTTCAGACTGGCCAATGAAAAAGGTACCTATGAGTTGGAACTTTTTGACTGGAGATAAAAAGGGAAAGAACAAGCCAGTCATGGAGCATGGCCATTTCGAATTCTTCTATGCTATAAGCTCCCAGCCGGTGAATAAAGCCCTTCCTCTTACAAACATGGTGTTTGGGTGCACTTTCTCTCCATTGAGCCTCTTCTTCCTGCAACAAGTAGAGTACTGTGGTGTAATAGCTCACCACAACCTCCAACTCCTGGGCTCAAGTGATCCTCTTGTCTCAGTCTCCCAAGTAGCTGGGACTACGGACTACAGGTGTCCACCAAAATGCTGGGCTAGTTTTTAGAGATGAGGGTCTTGATCTTACTCAGGCAAGTCTCAAATTCTCCTGCCTCAGCATCTCTAATACCTGGGACTACAGGCACTTACCACAATGCCTGGCTATTTTTTGTTACAGCTGTCATTGTTGTTTAGCTGGCCCAGACTGGGTTTGAACCTGCCAGCGTTGGTGCATGTGGCCGGTGCTATAACCACTGTGCTATGGGCGCCAAGCCTGTTTTTTGGGGGGGTGTAGGGGGAGGTTGAGGCAAAGTCTCACTTTGTCACCCTGGGTAGAGTGTGTGGTGTCATTATAGCTCACAGCAACTTCAAACTTTTGGCTCTCAGCCTCCCACGTAGCTGAGACTACAGTCACCCACCACAACACCCAGCTGGTTTTTCTATTGTTGGTAGAGACAAGATCTTGCTCTTGTTTAGGCTGCTCTCAAACTCCTGAGCTCAAGCAATCTACCCACCTTGGCCTCCCAAAGTGCTAGTGTTGCAGGAAGACGAGGCCCGATGGAGAGAAACAGCACTCAAACACCATATTGAGTCACCGTATTTAACAGGAAAAAGGCTTTTATTCAGCTGGTGGGGCTAACGGCATAGAAAAATTCAAAATGGCCATGCTCCCGGATTGGCTTGGTCTTTCCCTTTTTATCTCCAGTCAAAAAGGGCCAACCCCCAGGTACCTTTCTCATTGGTCAGTTTGAATCAAGTGGGAAAAGCTGTTCCCATCCCCACAAAACTATAGGATTTTACAGAAGTGGAAATTTCCAGGTCCCAGGAAGTTAAGTCTACAAATTCCTAAGAGCTGAGTCACCATGAAGAGGACCCTGTAGGTGTATCTTTGAGGTCTCCTTGAGAAGACCTCTGTTCTGCTAGACCTCACCCTTCCGGATATCCTTTCTCACTAAGATTACAGGTGTGAGCCACTGCACTAGCCTATTAAGAAGTTCTGATAAACATGCTAAGATGTTTGAGCAGTCAGCAGTAGTGAAGAAGGCGAGAATCTTCCAAAAACTTCTACTCCAGCCTGGGCTTCCCTCTAACTATGCTTCTGACTCTATACTAGCATGTTACCTCTCCCACACTGCCTAGCATCTGACCCTGGACATGCCCCTAGTTTTGGCTTGTTACCACCCCCACGGCACTAAAGGTGCACAAGGGTCTTACCCTACTGTGAGTAGAAACGAGACAGGAATTGGAGTTCAGTATAGGTGAAACACCTAAATCATCTCTTTCCCCCGTAGCCTTAGGCTTCATCAGGTAAGAACAAAGAAAGTAATAACTGACAACATGTTCTTCACTAAGTTATGTTAAACAGGGTTATATTGAAAGGATTATGCTTAAAGGTGTATGTTGGGTGGATTATCAGATTACCAGGGAGGAGCTACTTACAGGGCAGGTGGTCATAAGCTGTTTAAATGGATCAATGAGGTCATTGCTGCATTGTGCTCATGTACAAAATTCCCTGTATAAGCCAACTGCAAATAAAGAAGCTCGCCATTTTGCCTGAGTGAGCAGATGGTCACCTTTATTTAAAACACAACTTCAATAAGCGTGCTTATTCTTCACGACATCGCTTTTCCGTGACACCCTTATGGCAATAGTTCAGACTGCAAGAACGGAAGAAAAATGAGTTTTTGAGGAGGAAATATAAAAGGGAAATTATAATATTACCTTGAGAACCTATTAAAATACAAATGGCACATGGAAACCAATAGATGGATATTTTTCTCCTAAAGAAAATTAGGGAAGAGTACAAATGTGTTTGTGGGTACATTCAATGAAGCCTTCCATATACTAGGAGAGCCTGAGGTTTTATTTAGAGTTTTCTTGCTTTTGGGAAATGATAAAAAACCTAAAAAGATCAGTTGTTTTCTCAGGCTTTACAGACAGGCTTCATAGAGCAGGCGTCCTCAAACTATGGCCTGCAGGCCACACGCAGCCTACCTAGGACATTTATCCAGCCCATCAGGTGTTTTGCTGCCTCTGCCTATCCTGCTTAGTAGCTGACTCATCCTGGGACCCACAGTCCAGCCCTCCAATGGTCTGAGGGACAGTGAACTGGCCCCCTGTTTAAAAAGTTTGAGGACCCCTGTCATAGAGGAACAGTTCTTGAGAGAAGAATGTGTAAAAAATAAAAGATTTTGCTAGTCAGCCTCGGGAGTAGAATTTAAAGATATATATATATTTGCATTTAATGTTTAAGAATGTGTGGGCAGGCTCAATGCCCATAGCACAGTGGTTATGGCACCAGCCACATGCACTGAGGGTGTGGGTCTGAACCTGGACCGGATCAGCTAAACAACAATGACAGCTGCAAGAACAACAACAAAAATAAATAGCTGGGCATTGTGGGGGGCGGGGAGGGGCACCTGTAGTCCCAGCTACTTGGGAGGCTGAGGCAAGAGAATCACTTAAGCTCAAGAGTTGGAGGTTGCTGTGAGCTGTGATGGCACAGCACTCTACTGAGGGTGACACAGTAAGACTCTATCTAAAAAAAAAAAAAAAGAATGTGTGGGCAGGTGAAGAGGAGTCTCTTCCTCCCAGAAGATCTAGGGCCTTCATATGCACAGATCCATTCAACCCCAAGGTAGACAGAACTGTGTCTATTCCAGGCTTACATTTCTAACAATGCCTGCTTTAAGACTTCCCAGCCCCCTACTAACACATTTATCAGAACTTATATTCTATTCAGCAATTAGGTCTCAAGAGCAGAATTCCTGTGGTTTTGAAGAGCATTTAAAGCTCAGCATGCAAGACCAACAAAACTTTAAGAATCCAGATACCCTTGAACAAGGTCAGAAATATAAGCAATATGGCTCACAAAAACAAGGATATGAAATGTTTCCCTATCTCTGGAAGTAGTTCATAGGCAGGGAATTATCCCTTAGGCTGGAAGGCTGAAATGTGTCTGAGCATGATTGTCAATGGGAAAGAATATCTTCTTTTTTTTCTTGAGACATTGTGCTATGGGCACTGAGCCAGAATATCTTTTTATTATAAAATTGAGCATTGTTATTTGTCCTGTGTCTAGACATGTTTCTGACTCATTAGAAGGGTAAAGTGTAGACACCATGGCACTCTACCAAGGGTGACAAATTGAGACTCTGTCTCAAAAAAAAGGCAACAGCCTGAGAATCTGTCTCAAAAAAAGGGGGGGGGAAAAAGGAAAAAAACAAAAAAAAAAGAGGGGGGGGGGAAAAAAAAAAAAACATAAACTCAAAAAACAAAGAAGAACCAAGTTAAGAAAGAGTGTGAAAGAGAGAAAAGAGAAGGGAAAAGGAATTAGAAGTGAGAGTGGAATGAAATTTTAAATAGGATGAGGAGGTGGCATTTGAGGCCAGGCATGATGGCTCAGGATTGTAATCCCTAGCACTGTGGGAGGCCAAGATGGGAAGATCTCTTGTGCTCAGGGGTTCCAGACCAGCCTGAGAAAGAATGAGAACATGTTTCTACTAAAAAGAGAAAAACCAGCTGGTGTTGTGGCAGGGGCCTGTAGTCCCAGCTACTTGGGAGGCTGAGGCAGGGACATCACTTGAGCCCAGACGTTTGAGGTTACTGTGAGCTATGATGTCACAGCACTCTATCCAGAGCAACAGAGTGAGACCCTGTCAAGAAAGGAAAGAAAGAAAGAGAGAAAGAAAGAAAAGGGAGAGAGGGAGGGAAGAAGAGAGGGAGGGACGGAGGGAGGGAGGAAGGGAGAGAGAGAAAAGGAAATAAAGATAGGAAGGAAGGAGAAAGAAAGAAGAAAAAGAAAGGAAAAGGAAAAGAAAAGAAAACAAAAAAGAAAAGAAAATTAGGCAGCTGGGACTATAGACAGCCATTGCCTATAGTCCCAGCTATTCTAGGGGACTGAGATGAGAGGCCAGCACTTGAGCTCAAGACTTGGAAGTTATAATGAGTTATGATCATGCCACTGTATGACTCCACTCTAGCCTGGGTGACAGAGCAAGACATTATCAAAAAAGGTAAGAAAAAAGTTACTAAAAAATTTAGCAGCTTAACATAATAAACATTTATTACAGTGGTTCTCAACCTTCCTAATGCCTCGGCCTTTTGATATAGTTCCTGTGGGTCATGACCCACAGGTTGAGAACCACTGATTTATTATGTCACAGTTGATATACAAGGTCAGACAATTAAGTTCACCAATACATCCTAGAAAAAGTACTACATACCTCATTGTTGAGTATCATTGTCTGCTTTGAGGTATTCCCCATGGCTGTCTTGTGACCATAGTGATTTTCAGCAATGAAATTATCTAAGCAGTTGTCCTAGGATGAGTCCATGAACTTAATTGTCTACCTTCCTATGTCAGGAATCCAAGAGCGCTCTAGCCTCATGGTTCTGTCTCAGTGTCCTAATAAGTTTGTAGTCAGCTTTGTGCCAGAGTTATTGTTTTTGTTTTCTTTTTTCAGAGTTACTATTTTTGAAACCTTCAACTAGGACGAATAAGAAACAAGAGGCAAGCACTGGCCAGGTGAGGGGCAGACAAAGCCAGGCTGGCATGATTTCTCCAAAAGACAGCAAGGCACTGATGACCATCTTTCAGGCTTATGCGTTAATTATAACAAGATTTTCTACACAAACCCTACACCAAACTGACATATATAGGACAACACAGATAGTGTAGAAATGTTGACTTGAATATTTTAGGACAACCAAGAAAAATGATATGAAACTTTTCTATTTGCTAAAATCAATGTGAAATGCCCACACATACACACAAAAAATTGTGAAGTTACTTTTGAGAATACATACACTTAAAGACGCATGTGGTAAAAAAGCAAGACCAATAGTTGGCATACCAGGGAACCTCACGAACCAGAGTCTCTGTTAGGTGGCCTTGTCTCCAAGCAGGAACAGAAGTGACTCCTCAGAAGCCAGGCTTGGCTTGGCAGAAATAGCACTACGGGAAAGTCCAAGCCCACTCAGCGACCAGAAGCGAGTGGATGAGTATATGTGCACAACTGTAGTGTGTGTGCATGCGTGTATGTGGTGTAGCTCTGTGTTCCAAGAGTCTGCTGGTGGCCACGGGACTGATACCGGAATTTCCTCTTCAGTAGGTCCTTGGTCTC